CTAATTTTAATCAATACGTATACTTCGTAGAGCAATATATAAAGCTCGAATATCATGTAATGAAAAATTATTGGAATTTCTAAACAACTTCTGATCAAAATATGGATTTAAAAATCGAATCGCATTTTAATTAGAAAAAAAATCCTATATTTATACAATAAAGTATTAATATACAGATAACATTTTATAATTTCTAGTTTCAATTACTTTCATCTTAACTTGATCAAAGTGAACGTTAAACAACATTATTCTAGCTTACTTAGCCGCAATGAATTCAAGCGTACTGCCCTAAAAGCAAACGGTAGTCTCATTTTCTTAACAGGAAGAAAGAAAGAGAAAGCAATAGAACGTGTGCTTTCTCCGGCATCTTGGCATCTTTTTTTTTCTTCGTTCATTTCCTCTGCTTTTCGTCCTTCTTTTTAATGGACTTGTCAATTGGGGTGGCACGTACGACGATACGATCAGACGACCCTCCTGCAGGCTGCTTTACGCTTCGAGAAGCACTCGCGAGTACCGAAAAAGCCCATTCGCTTAATCTCATGCCCTAAGGGTAAATAAGAAGTCGCGATGGGTGGAAGACGCGATGGTATTGGTGAGGATTGAATTTCTCGTCCAGCGCATCGTCCATCTTTATTCAATTCATCCTCATCTTTTTCTTGTCCGCCTTTCAACTTACCACTCATCGCAATTCGAACTATTACTACGTGAAAATCGCGAAAGAAGCCACGAAACGATTTATGACGTTTTAACAGATGTTCTACGCCTCCCTCCTCATCCCTTTCCAATCCCCTCTTTTTTCTCTCCTTCTCCCTTTCCATCTCTATTTGCCGTTTTTTCTCGGTACTCCTTTCGAAGGCAAAGAAGCGGAAACGCAACGGATCTTCGACGTTCCTATACCACCGATCCAGTGCTTTTAAGCTCTCGGCAATATCGACGATCATAAATTCTACTTGGAGCATCGTCAAGAGCGTATTTCATCTTACGAATATCCCTATGGAATAGCTGTTCTCGATTCATGACGTTTTTCAATCGATATCGAGTCGAGCTTGTCTATGATCGTTGAATTAAATTCATTACTCGAGAATTTATTTTCTATATCTTAATTATCTCCTTTGATGATATAAAACAAAATTTTTAAGTCTTTTTTTGAAGTGAAAACTTCTTTAGAATAGGGAGTGATCTGAAAAAAAAAATGAAACACAGTCGGTCAGGAAACAGAGCTATGAAACGGCTGCTATACTAAATAATGAGAGAAAAAAAGACAAACATATAGGATTTAGCCTGCGATAGAATGAGACGGAATATAGCTATACAGTTTTACCTATTCTCGGTCTCCTCTTTATGATCTGCTTCGTAGTTATCGCTTCTGGTTGTATATGTGTGTGTTTGTGTGCATCTCCATACTACGAAGAATTGACACATATTATTACGATACTTAAACTGTTTGTAGGTAGGAGCGATAGAAGAGTAGAAGAATAAAAAGAGATAAGAACGAAGGTATAACAAAAAAATAAGGTACAAACGAACCGAAGGTCGAAATAAAGAAAGAAGGTGCGTGGTCAAATTTGTTTTTTTAACAAATGTATCATTCCTTTTCTATTTAAAAATATTTCTATTTTTTTTTTAATGAAAAATGAATATAAGTTCTTTAGTTCGCACATATTAAAATTAATAATTAGGAAATAGATAGAATATAGTATTTTATTTGCTGCAATATTTCATTAAAAAAAAAATGATTATCAGATACATCAGAGAAAAAGAGCTAGAGAGCACTATAGAATACATTAGAAGCAGCTGACAAATTCAACTCAAGACTACTTTTCACTACTTTTCGGAAAAAACCTCACTACTTTTCGGAAAAAACCTGACTACTTTTCGGAAACGCCAGTTTCGTGAAAATCTACAGAAAGAAGATATTAGGGAAGTTTTAAAGAGTTCGACGGAAGGCGTTTGTGCATTTCTTGCATGCCGAGAGGTGTTCAGTTATCATACATTTTTTAGTTACCAGAAGCAACTTGTCTCATTTCTTCGAATTGAGAACTTGCTTACTGTCTAATATGTTATGTGTTATATGTTAATAAAACGTAAAATAATTTTTGAAAGTGGTAACAATATTATAATAATAATATTTAAAAAAAACAACCCTACAATTATCCTACACCTGATATTCTGCATTCGTTTCAATCTCTTGAAACTTTCTTTTTTCGATGGTTTCACTTCTAACACGTGTGATCTGCCCACATGATATTTTTTTTTCTTTTTCTTCCCTACTTTATTTGTTTTCTTTCTTTTGGATAACATTTTAGTATCCTAATTATTTATTAAAATCCTATAAAATAATTCTATAATTTAAAAGATTCGAATTTTGTTAAATACGATATTATTTGATATTTTCTTTAATACGGGCTATCGAGTTTAATCAACACACTTTTAAGTTAAACATGCCTGGTCTCGTATATGGCAAGTCAAGCGAACGTTCTCGACGTAAATCACGCGCGTAACATTGTCGCTTGACGTCCACGCGTCATTACACATTCACCTATATGTACAGAGTAGATGGCACGAAGTACGTACATATATATTTATTAGTATATATATATATACGTACGTATATACATAAATACATGCATATGTATATGCATACGGCTTATGTATATAATGCGATGTGCTACCCCTGCTGCAGAATAATCTCTTGTCCTACGTCAAATCGCGTCTTTCAGTTAGGTTCGATTATCTTCGATCTTCCGTAAACGAGATCATTTATCTCGTATATGTTGTTGATATCAATTAACGTTTTGATCAAATAATATTGTTTTGTTTGAAAAATCAAATAATTGATCGTAAAAAGGAATACATACTCTTTCCGAAGTTCTATAACGTTACCCGTTTGAAGCGACATATTCGTTCATCTGGCAATGATTTTTGTTTTTTCTCAAAAATTCCATATGTTTGTAGATTTCAACACGTTTCTGCTACGACATCGATATTGTAAACGAAGAAATAAGTACTTTTATTGATTTAAAATGCAAAATGTGACGTTTACCGAAGAGTAAAATTGGTGCTTTCAATCGGAAAACGATTTATGATGTAGACGAGGCCAGTTTTGAATCGGAACTAACCAATGTTCTACCTGACTTGCTACTTACTTTGTTATCGTTTGAATATACTCTGAATATTTTTCTCTTTTGTTTCTTTTTTTTATATTTCTACTTATATAATGTTTGTTACTATGTTTAGATATACTGATCATTTATGTTGAGATTATATAGCAATTCAAAATCATTCTTCGATAATTTGTTTATGGAATAAGTGCATTGAATCAATGAAAATTATACTTTTTTTTATTATAAATTATTGCATTGATCAATATCAGAATTTTTATTACTTTATAATTATGAAATAATGTCAAAATATTTAAGAAAAAATACTAACATTGTTTATATTTAAACAATAAATATTGAAAATTCTGATATTGCTTATTGATTAAATCAATAAATAGGGTGAATTTAATAAAAATGCTCTAATTACTTCTTAATGGTAATACTTACGTTTTAATGTTCTATTTTTATTCCTCAAACATTGTATCTTATTCCACTGAGAATGTCCATATTTATCAAAAATTATGCAACTTTTGTAATATTTCTGAGATCCTTGTTTTGCGTAAGCATGCAAAATAATGTAAATTCTGCCTTTCGCTCTTTTTTAACATGAAATTCTTTAGTCAATAAACTTGATATTTCTATAAAAGAGAAGTTCGTAGAAATAAAGAAAAATAGAGAGAGAGACGAAGAGAAATAGATAGAAAAAGAAAATAAAGAAAGATTCAGTATCGTTAAGAAAGTGAGGCATGTTTGGACTAATTGCACTCAGTAAAAGCGGACCGTTCATCATAAATCATCTCTCTCTCTCTCTCTCTTTCTATTTCTCTTTCTCCTTCTTTCATTCTTGAACGAAGACTTCGAGGCATAGGATTTTGCGAGCAGCTGTGATATCATCGAAAAGGAAACTTCTCTCTCTCTCTCTTTCTCTCTGTTTCTTTATCCTTCTCACTCCGTACAGACCACCAAGTGTAACAGCCGTCGTCGCTGAAACCGATGGCAAGAACTTTTAGGAAGGGTTCGAGAACCGACTTAGGGCTTCGCAAAGGGGTTGAAAAAAGAAAGAGAGAAGAATCTGAGAAGTAAGATAAGGTTGGAAACATGATGCATATATATTCGAGCAAATGTTCGTGTTCGCACTGAAATGCTTTTCATCTATCTATCTATTTTTCTCTTTTTTTCTTTCTTTCTTTTTTTATCATCAGTTTCTCACATTTATATTTTATTTTTATTCTCTTTATTTCCTGTTTTTCTGCATTTTATTGGTCGAATACAGTCGTAAACGTTACAATTGGCAATTATTTTTATTATTATTTTTTATTTATTCATTTATTTATTTATTTTTATTTTCATCGGTGATACAATCGATGTTTCTCTATATACATTTTATATACAATGCTCCCTTATCGAAGACGCATGGAACACGGATGAATTCTTCTCTTGAAAAATCACTCGACGTTCGAATTCCGTGATCGATACGAATCTTATACCTATGTCCCTAGACATTGATATACAAAATTGATAAAAAAAGGATATACGGGAAGAGGAGATAACACGAGATTGAGATTAAAGGATATCTCAGTAAATGTAGAATTTGTTTTGGATTTTTTATATGATTTCCTTTTTTTATCAAATTTCTTGATACTTCGATTCGTAGAATATTTGTTATCTTTTTTTAATTACCGATTTTAAACGTTTTTTTTTTTTTTATATCAAAAACATTTAATAAATAATATTAATACGTTGAATGCCGTATTGATTTTATATAAATATATATATATATAGATATGTATCTGCATCTAATTATATATTTTTTTTATATTTTCTGTTCGAAAATAAAAACACGGAAAAATGCATTCTCGTCTTTTTCATATTAAATGCATTTTGTTCTTGTTACTATTACTTTTTTTTTTTTTTTTGAAAATGTCTGAAAATCAATTAGACAATCATCATTTACGATACTCAACGTATTATTAAAAACGAGTTAAAAAAGCACGATCGATTGTTTTATACTCTAAACGTAATTCTCTTCGTTCCTGATTTTTATTCGAAATCGAGAGGGTAGCTTTAAAGTGATAAAAGGTTGAAGTCGAGTCGAAACCTTTTTTTTTCTTGTTTCTTTATCAGATAATTCCATGGCTTAGCGAATCATGGTAGATCTTTCATCAATTTTACAAATGAACGATATATCGTTTCTTTAAAAATGACAACAATAATGCAACGATGAGGCAGGGACGATGTGAATCCTATAGGGAGACTAGAAAACGTATAACTCGTGTCTCTATTCGTAAGCTGAGAAAGCTTTTGCTATTCCTCTTTCTCTTTTCTTTCGAAGTACGTTCTATCATATATTTTTATGGAGCTTAAACGTCTACACATACCATTACATTTATAAATCGCCTCGATATGGATAAGGTTAGGACCCGGATGAAAAAAAAATCGTCGAACGTTTCGCGATTAATAAATTCGAAACGACGAATCAACTCGTATATTCGAGAATCTCGAACAAAAAAAAAAAAGAAAAAACTCAAAAAAAAAGAAACAATACCGTTATTTCGCCTGTACTCCCAGGTCCAGAAGATAAAAGTTCGGCGCTTTATTTTTCTTTTCTTTTCTTTCTCCCTCTTACCATATTTGATTCATCGAAAGAAAATCTAGCGCACGTACTCGGTATAAAAAATGAAGGAAGAAAAGATAGAAGAAGAAAAAGGGTGGGAGAAAAGATGAGAGAACATCGATCTAGTAAGAACACATCGAAAAAGTTTTTCGTAAAAATCGATTTCTCTACTTTGAGAGAAATGACATTGCGAGTGAAGTTGAACCCTCTGAGGAATTCTGTCGGTTTATCAGCCACAGTTAGCCTCGCAAAAGCTTTCTTCGATGATACTCTCGAGCATTTGGACCTGTGCAGAACCCTCCGAATCCTTGGAGCCACGCTCGAAGGTGCTGTAAGAAACGGTCGAAGCCATTTCTTGGAACAAGCTTTTCTTCAGGACGTTTAGGTACCCCTATCTCTGAACCATGTCGCCAAGGTAATCGTCGTGAGATGCAAGCAAGTGTCGAGGTACGTCCAATGCAGTATGTAAAGTGACTGTGACCCCACGATTGAGACTGACAGCTGGATAGAAGACACCATAGAGATCACGGAAAGCCACACCGCCCTGGGCTTGATCGTTCACAAAGAAACGTAATGTGTGTGTAGTCTCCAGGTCCAAGAGAACACCTACGGTCGAGCCTTGTTGTACACCACCCTCCGTTCTCTGAGCGTGACCACCACCATGCATGAACCAGGATCGTTGTCGGTCTATGTACATGCTCCAGCCCTTGTCGTCTTTTCCTGTGAACACCACAAATCGATGCTCTTGTGTGTGTGGGATTTCAAATCAGTTGTTGATCAGGTAGTATCGATCGTTGATCATGTTTTATGTATGTATATATACTCAGTGAGTTCGATTAAATGTTTGCTGTCTGATTGAAGATTCGAAATATAACGATTCCAATGGACAGTTTGAGTGATTCAAGGATCATACGTTCTGATCAATAGAACAAAGATGTAAACGTTTAAAGATGAAGATTAGTACAAAATTTTATTTATTGCGAACTTTTAATGTGGTTAACGTTTAATATGATTTAGTCGGTTTTAAATGATTAATGTTTGGAATCTAATAAAAATAATAATAATTTTTATTGATTATGTAAATAATATACTGTAGCAAAATATCAAACTTCTATATAAACGATGTCAGACAAATAAATTATTATGAGTGTTTGCAAAAATATAGTTTTCTTTGAAAAACAAAAAACAATTTACAGAATTAATTCTATTTCATATAAAAAAAGAATACTATACTTAGGAATAATGTTGAAAAAATGAGCTTACCGAGCATTTGATCACGTACGACGTCAGCTCTAGCGATGCCAAAAGCAGGATCGGTATCACTGTGATATCGATCGATGGTCAACTCCCAGTAATGTATGCCTCTAGAAAATCCAACGCTAGAGAGGACCACACGATGTTCGTAACCTTCGCAGGAAGCACTCATTGCGTCCTCGGAAATCGAAACTTCCTGCGGTATCCCAGTAGCACCAGTAGCCCACGAGAACCACGCAACTGTTTCAATGAATTTTTATTATCCTTCGATCTTACTATTATTTCTTTTTTTAACATTTCTATTTTACAGATAATATTTTGAAATAAAATTCTTTCTATTTTGAAATAAATTTTATTTCATCTAAATTTTTTCTTGAATTTTTAATAGTAAATTTTTAATTAAATGTAAAATAATTTTGAAGTTTTATTTAAACGATAAATCGTTTGATAAATTTAAAAGACACCCGTTGTTATTATCAGCTCGTATACTTAAATGCTCGTTTTCAACAAACCCGCATACAGGTATATTCTAAGCACGTTAAAATCTATTATTCTAAAGAGGGCTAGTAATTCTCATGCAGCATTATGCTAACACTTCTGTTTGTTAAGTATAAAGAGCACTACACATACGGGTAGCTCTTGCGGTATTATTCCAATCACACAAATACCCTTTCTCTCATTCTCCCTCTCATTCTCCCTCTCTAACACTCTTTCTCTTTCTCCTTTTCTCAATACTATACATCCATAATATAAGAAATTCGATTTCAATTTCAAATCGAAAATTAAACAATAAGTAGACGATAAAATTAATATGTAGTTCTTTCTTTATTTTATTTCCTGTTTAAATACGTTATCGTAGACGATAAAATTGATATTTAGTTCTTCATTTATTTTATTTCCTGTTTGATTACGCTATCGATCTTTAGTGAAAGGAAACTCCACTCGGAGATTGGGAGGAAACGATATTCCGTTGTTTAAAAAAAAACGAAGTTCCTTTATGCATGATTTCACTACGATCTTTATCAAAAACAAAAGCTGTATCCATCGGTTGACTATGAGGGGAGGATCCTTCTGCTATTGGTCGATAATATTCATAATCTCCTTCCCTCTCCAAAGGGGTGTGTAACTCTTTTATGATATAAATATGTGAGAGTCTTAAGTCAATCAGAATGCCTTAATCTATCAGTTCTTAATCTGTATCAGTCTGTATATCTGTTTGTCTGTATCGGTTCCTTAGTCCTTAGTTCTCAGTTCAATAATTATACATTAAATCTGTTACATTCGTCTCTGCATATTTTATCGGCCAGTTTATCAGTTTATTAGTCAGTCAGTCAGTCAGTCGGTCTTATATTCATAACTCTTTTGTATTCTGTATTTTTGTAACTACGCCACTTTTTTGTAAACCTTTTGTAAATACCGCTCAACATCATCATAATTTAATAAATTATATTCTATCATTTTCAGTTTTATTTCTCTCTGTTTGAACCCCACAAATAAATATTCTATACACTGTAATAATAAATAATATAAATTAAAAGAGCAATTCTAATCTGAAGAAAAATTATTATAACTCTAATCCTGAGTACTATGAGAAAGAGCTTTGCCATTGTGAAACAATAAACAAAAATTCTCTTCAAAAAGATGCAAGATATAATGAAAAAGAGAGAGAGAGAGAGAGAGAGAGGAGGGGAAATGAGAAAAACAAACACATGACTCCGTTTTCGCGCGTAGAAGCGTAGACATAAACGACAGATTAATATCGGATCTGTCATCGGCAATGCGTGGCCTCTCTCCGATCATTTGATCTACTCGTTGAAAATACGTCAGTCCGAGCTGCCAGTTTCAATCGTTCATCTTCCACTCGATACCAACGTCGATTTTCCACTCGAATCCTTGCCACGTAGAGGAAGGTAAAAAAGATGAAAAAATTCTAGAAGGGAGGTGATGGTGATGGTGGTGGTGGATAGCGGAGGTAGTAGGAAGTGGTCGAACAGAACGAGAAAAAGAAAGATAGAAAGAACAAGTTGGTTATACGAGCTCACCCTCCGCGGTCTGAAGGCCGATCAGCTCAGAGTATTCGCCCTCTCCGGCACTGTTGAATGCCCTAACCCTGGCGTTGTACAGCGAGTTGAAGTGTAGCCCGTCGACGGTACAGATGGTCTCTCGTCCGCAATACACCTCCTGCGCATTTCGAAATATTCATGCGGTTAGCATTAACAAGAAACGGAAATCTCTACTATTTCCGCTAAAAAAGGAAATGAGAATAGAGATAAAAGGATTACCGGAAACGTTCCTTCTGTATAAAGTTTTGTTATCTTAATATAAATAACAAATATATGAAAGAATATTTTAATATTAATCCTATTCATTCGTTAAATGCAAATAATTGAAATTTTTAACAAAAATACTTATTTAAGTTTTTTCTTTTATTATAAAGAATAATATGCATGTGAAGATATATAAAAGGGTATTTGAACCCTTTGAGTGCTGAATACTTTTACCTAAAATGTTTTGTAAGAACGGAATAGTTTATTATTAACCAGATTCTAATAATAAATTATATTTAATAAATTAAAGTTTTTCTTTCTAAATATAATTTAATTAATTAATATAAACATTACATTATATTCTACATTAATATTAACAAACACGTATATGGATCGATATACCACTCTGATAATTTTTAAGCATATATGCGTCTATAGCACTCAAAGGGTTAAATATATATTATACTTATTGAAAACCTGAATATATATTTTACGAACATTACGTACACGAGATAAAAAAAGGAATAAAATGATTCTTTTGTTTGATCAAGATTTCACAAAAGAAATTTCGATTTGGGAGAAGAATAAAAGTCGATCACTAATCACCTACTCGTGATTAGTAAGCTAGCTATAGCTTTCGATGATATAACTGATATGAGTGAGATAATTAGCGCCTCCAGTATCGTATTAGGACGGATCTTGGAATGGTTTGTAAACGATAGAAAGCTTACATTTTTGCGCTCTGATTAATAACGCGTCGCTTGGGCCATTATATCGTGGTGCTCGTTAGCGTAGCAAAGCAATATCGCGCGTATAAATCTTTCTCCTAGCTTCACCTTCTCAATTCTCTTTTCTCACCCATCTCTACTTCTTTCCTGCCCTCTCATTTCCACCCCTTTTCTTCGTTCTTATACCTTTTCCTTCGAGACTTCTTCGCGTCTACGGCATCGCGATCGTCTCGCTTTTAATATTTAAATCAAGCTCGTTTCTCGTCACGATCTCTCTCTTTTCTCACGGTTTCTCGCTTTCCACTTTCTTCTTCTTCTTCTTCTTCTTCTACTTCTATTTCTACTCTTACTTTTCCTATTTCTTTTGCTTTTTCTTCTTTTCTTTTTCTTTTTCTTCATCGACGACCAGTCTTCTTACCCCATCTCCTTTTTTTATTCTCGTTTCTTCCAACCCGTTCTCTTCTTTATCTTGAAGATATTCGTCGTCAAGCTAAGAAAGAATTCCAACGTCTCGAACGAGAAGATTTTCAACAGAATTTTACGCGACACTCTGAATTTTCTGCTCTGTGTGTATATATATATATATATGAATGTATGTATATATGTATGAGTGAATGAGTGAGCGAGTATGTGAGAAAGAAAGATGGAAGAAGGTCGTGGAATCGGCGGATAAGCCGACGAAATTGAGTTTCGGATCGTTGTTGCTTTTTCGTTAGGATTCGCGGGAAGCATCGTAAAAGGAAAGTTCTGTTCCGTAAAAAGGATCTCTCTTTCTCTCTTTCTATCTTTCTTATCTGATTCGTGAAACGAAAAAGAACACCTATTTATTTTTCCGTGTCAACGAACAAACGAGCTTTCTGACAAGTTCTTTTGATTCATTCGAGCAAGAAGACGTTACCGTTCGAGAAAAAGGCCACCTCCTAAATCTTATTATCCTTCAATCGATGCCTCTTTTATCTTTTTTTTCAATAGTTTTTCTTTATCTTTTGCAAGTTATGAATATATTTATATATTTTGTAATTTGGCTGGAGCTTGAGATAAGACCTTGAGGAAAAAGTTGTTTTATTTTCTTCTTTCTTTTTTCTATTTGCAACCGTTCATCAAATTTTCATACATGTCATTAAATGTTTAGAATTTGTTTTACATTAAAAATAATATTATTTCTCATTTCAAAGGATGAACTTCTTATACAAATAAAACGGTATTTGATGCGTCCGAAAAATAGTATTTAATTTAACCTAACTAAACAATTATGTGGAAGCTTAAAAACACACATACACAATATTTTATTTTAAAATTGTTATATTACGTCTCCTAGACGTCATTGTATGTCAAAGGGTTAATATTATTAGTAAAAAATATTTATTATATTGTAGGAAACGAAGAAAATATTTAGGTGGTTTTTTTCGAGTTTGAAGTTACACGATAGGTGGAAATGACGAAAATCACGTAAATCGGGATACAACTTTGCATCTCACTTTAAGTATCGATCCATGTATATATCTTCATCATGCATACACCCACACAACCAAATAACGCTTGAATCTTCCATATTCTCGACCAACTGTCGCTCAATTGATCTCAAATACAGATATTTTATACTCTTGTGCACATACACATTTTTATATGACTTGTACTAGATCTTTAAGCATGAAACGTTTGATTATTTCACTTATTTTAAATTTGAAAATAGACATTTTATATTTAATGATTTAATTTAATTAAGTCAAAATATTTACGTTTGACGGTAAAGTAAAAAATCGGGTAAGTCCGCGAGAATTATTTTATATAATTCCATCTATCTTTGATATGTATAATATAATATTGTATATAATTATAATTTAAATATAATTCATATATTTAATTATATTTTTTTAACTTATTATAATTTAAGTATAATATAATTCATAATTTAAATAATAAATATAAGAAGATATACGTATTAATGAAACTAATTTTTTGTTAATGCGTCTTTCTATTTAAAAAAGATTTCTTTTTTTCAAATTTCTTGGAATATAAATTAAAAGATTGGCAAAGGACGGAAGAGTAAAGGGCAAAATTCGTAATCGATAGCATTTCATCGATATTCATTCCGGCTTCTGGAGCAAGAAGTATCACACTATCGAATTCTTGTCTCGACTTTAATATTACTCAAGTCTGCCAAACGGAAGACGTCAAATAATTTCTAGAATTTCCTTCGTGATAATTTTGTTGATTAGCATCTGAATCTTGCAACAGGTTACTTAAGAAGAGCTTTTTACTTAAAAGAATCACAACAATGAAAAATAAAAAAAGCACAAGATAAACGAGCAAAAAGAATCGGGAGAGAAAAAGAAACAAAAAAAAACAGGTAATATTCGTTTATGATCGATATCTCGATCTGATATTCATAATTATTATTTTACCGAAGAAATGCAATATAAATAAGATCTTTTTTTCCGGAATATGACTGTTACGAGAAACGGAAGAGGATTATTGATTTCTTAAAGTGAGATTGAGATTAAATTGAGTTTATGTATTACATAAAACGAGCGATATAATTAATCTCAAATGCGGAAGGAGAAAAGAGAATAAGAGGAGAAAGAAAAGGATGAAAAGAGGTATGTACTTGAAATCGATAGTGATGTCGTGCTCGACATAGTTCAGGCACGTACTTTTAGTATTGGCCGGAAGACTCGACTTCGGGTTAATGCGCGAGAGAGTCTCGGTGAGATCAGGAAGTATTAAAAGCCATTAAGTGGGTAGTAAATAAAAGTTAGTTCGTAGGAAAGCCTCCCACATTTATTTCCTTCTTTCCTTATTTTTCTTATTCTTTATCTTTATCTTCTTCTTCTTCTTCTTCTTTCCTTCTTCCGCTACGCTTGTATTAGATTTATCATTTAATAACATTAATCGAAAACAATCGATCAATTTTAAGCTTACTTTCATTTGTCCAATTTTTCTCTTCCTTCACCATAATATTTTCATTTATTTTTTTTCCCTTTCTTCTTAATCTGTTATTTTTTTTTTTTTCATTTTATTCTTCTATTATAGCATTGGTATTTAAATAATAGTAGACGAGAAAGTAATCGATAAATTTTAAATCTACACTTTTCTTCGTCACAGTCTTCACTCAATCTTTCTCTTTAGTTTTATATCTTGTCGTCCCTTGTTCTAATATTAGATTTATCTATATCATTTTCTTTTCTTTCTTTCTTTTGTGTTGTCTATTTCTTTTCTTTTTTTTTTGTAATTAGTCCAGGTGAAGGTAAAAGTTTTCCGCGTCCGTACTCTCGCCAACGTCCTCTTTGATAATTCACGCGTGAAAAGTTAAGAATTTAATTCGTAACTTTTCCCTGGTACGCCAAAGTTGGTAGAAATCTTGTTAGGCAAATAACGAGGTATATTGTAATTAACGTCGAACACGTTAATTATTACGTCGAAACGAGCACGCCCTCCGATGAATTTCGCTGTTAAATTCGAAATACGAGCGAAACAAACAACGATTCTGCCCGTGTCCTCTCTCGCCTTCGCCACCAACTGCTGTTCAATTATCTTCCAATTATGTACGAGTTAATATTGAACTTGAATTGAAATATAGAAGTACGATCGTGACCGATCGATCGCACAAGCGACGCCTATTATTATCGCCGAATTCCCCAAATGTTACACTAGAAAATTTATAAACAATCTATCAGTTAGTATAGTGATATATTATAATTATTAAACAATAAACCATATGTATCGATAATTATGACTATTACTTCAATCGAAAATAATTTATGATTAACTCGTAACAAGCAATGTGTGATTAATTATAATTAATTATTAATTTAATTACATAATAAGCATTCGGTTGTTAACAATTATTCTTTCATAAGCGTAGTTTTTTCCTTTGTTAAATTAATACTATAATTTTCACTTCTGTAATTACGCGGGTGGATTGAAAAGCTTTGAGTCTAATACATTACAAAAACAATTTCTTTCTTGGTAAAACTTACTTTTATTTTATTAATTAATAAAAGTAAGTGTTTTTCTTTTTTTGTATTAAGGTTCCAAACTTTTCAACTCACTTTTGTATATCATACAAATGTAAATATAATTTTTATGTAGCACGTATCAATTTTGTGTTTATTAATTTCGTGGCACACAATTGAAATAAAACTAAAAAAATAAATATATGGATAAAATCTTAGAATTAATCAGTTATTTCATTAGCCTAAGTGCAAAAGTTTGTGTCAGATTTGTAATTTAATTTTATTTAAATGTCGAAATGTGGTCGATCTATCAATACCGAGTCTATCAGCAATCTCATTGGTTGGCATTCTTATTCATAATGTTTTATATTGTTCACAATGCCATCATCAATGGCAGAAAATCGACCAAAAGATGGCTCGTTGTCGATATAGAAATCGCCTTATCTAAACTTCACAAAACATATTTTGACAGTTTGAAACTGGAACGGTCTCCTGATAAACATTCAGAATTTTTCAACTTAGAATTCTTTTAAAATTTATAATGCATGACATGTCGTAAATACACCTTGTGCTCATTTTATTTTAAAATTTTGTTATTACAATGAAAAAATTTAAATAAAACACACATCTTTTGTACAAAAATGACAACCGAATATCTATCCTTATTTAATATCATGCAATTTATATTACGCCTCGATTGATAGCATGCAATATATAATTCTATGAACAATATGTAAAAAAAATCGGTCACGAACTTTCGAATTCACTTAATTCATGGTCTTATAGAATATTAATACCACTTATTTCCAATCAATACTCAATACAACTAGATATACTCAAAAATATATTTAATCGAAACCAATAAAAACTAGAATTCTTTCTTCTAATAATTTTTTATTTCAAAATAACTGTATTTCTTTTTTTTTTTTCCTATAAAATCCTAACCGAGATGTTCGATATAAAGATGTATCTCAATACGATACTTTTCTTCCCTTTATTTTTACTTTTTTTCGATAGAGCTTGATCGATGAGTTTTAGTCACGTAGCTACTTCAAGGCTCGTCTGGAGAACTTTGAGATCGAAGTGAGAGAGAATGAGAGAGAGAGAGAAAGAGAGAGAGAGAGAGAGAAGTTTGAAAACGATAGGAAGACAGTAAGACGTCTCATGGGGATCAGAGAGTAGATGATGGCAATGGTAGTAGCTGTAATAGTGGTATACTCACCCTAAACTCTCCTCCACAGCCATCGTCAAGTTCGAGAAGGTAACCTTCGATGGCTGGACCTCTTTGACCAGCACAACCCATGACCCCATGTCCAGGAGGTGGCTGCCAAGCAACAGTAACGCTGTTATTCTCGGCACTGCATTCTTCCGGAATCAGTAATGGTGCTCCAGGTGCTAAAAATGAACATTTTCGATCATTAATACTCTTGGATGCTGATAATATATGGTAATTCGTTTAACAATAAATTTTATAAAAATAATCTCGCCGAAAAATATCAGCAAATGCAGGCCAATCCTAACATTCTAATTTCTTTATTTCTTTTATTTTTATTCAGTCAATACGTTTAAATCTTTTATTTTGTCGATAGATGAAATATTTATATATGTAAGATTAAAATTAAACGAATTGTTGAACACCAGTGGTTAGATTTTCAATTCTGTTAATTAATTTCTAATAAAAATAGAGTTATTCAAGTTTTCGAAAAGTAGGAGAGAAAAAACATTGCTGAATATTTTCACAGGTAGAGATTGATAGTCATTAATAAGTCCAGAAACTATTTATTTTCTCGACATGTACTGTATCGTGGTTTCTCGTAAAGTTATTTCAATACCATTTTGGTAACTTCAATGAAGAGAGAGAAAGAGAAAGAGAAAGAGAGAGAGAGAGAAAAGGTTTGGCCACTAACCGACTTCGTGTTCGCTTTTGCTCGACCGTTTCGAATTTGTGGGTTGTATCGATTTGATCGAGAAGCAAATGGAAGAAGAGAGAGAAGGAGGTAAAATACCGGTCTTGTATACGTGAATGAGTAAAAGAGAGAGACGAAATAAAAGGTAGAAACGGGTCAGTGGTCAACGACAATCGTTGCCACAGAGAAAATGGATTCGTTCTGCATCGTGAAAACGACGTCGAGTACGTTCGTGCGAACGTCTGTCGGATTAAAGCGATTCTCAGAGTTAACTCAATGTTTTAAATGCATTTACTTGCGATATGAATTCTTGATCAATCTTCTCTGTATCATTCTTTCTCTATCACTCTTTTTTTCCCCTCTTTCTCTCTGTCTATCCTTTTAATTTTTCATTTATTTCATTTATATTTCCATTCGTTCTACTTGCATTACGTATATTCGTAATGACGCTACGAATTTTTAATATTAACAATTTTTTTTTGTAATTTAAAAGATGAAATTATTTTTCAAATTTTTTAATTCGTTTCGAATAAAATATGACGACATTTGAGGGAAAATGAACGTATATATAAAAATGAGATAAAAATTTACTTTAAATATTAAGAAATGTAATTTGAATAAATTCTTTAAAGCCACCGATTAATACGCTTTATATTGTCAATGTTTATTGACTGATAGTCTAAAAATAGACATTTCATTGATTTTGATTTAAATGACTAAACTGTTGGTCAACATTTATTGTTTTATTTCTTTAATAATTCGTATTTTTGTAACAAATAAACCCAAAAGCATTTTGTTTCCTTAGATTTTTGAATATTGTTAATAATGATCATTAGCAATTTATCTTAGATAAAAAAAAATGATGTAGGTTTTTAATTTTTTAGTTAAGGAACATTTGAATTTTAGTACATATATATTCAATATACAGATTTAAAGGAAAATCTTTGATAATATCGATTAGAGATTACAATTAACAGCAAATTAATCTTACTAAAATGAATTAATCCATGACGTTAATCTATCCTTGATGAGAATAACTATTATGTTCTACTTCAAGTGTAAAGGTCTCGTTGTTACGTTATGTTATGAAACCAGACAAATGGAACAGTTGTGGATTATACGTATGTACACACACGTACACAGGTTGTTCTTAGCGTGTAGCACGCATCATAGACTAATATGTTTCGCTTTATAAAGGAATAGGGTAAATCAACGTTTCTATATATATATAAATATATATGCTAATAGCTTTAATTTTGTTTAACTAATAAATATTCAATGAAGAATCTAAAAAATCGAATTTAATCTTTAATAGATAAAACGATAATATCTGAGGATTGTTCATTAATAAATAATCTTATAAAAATGATTCTATGAAATTAGTTGATTTATTATGTGAATAGTACCAGTGAACTTAACAATGAAAAATATTTAATTGATATTAAATGTGATAATGATATCAGTAAAAAGCCATAATTTGGATATTCGTTAATATCATACCATACTAGGAAAAAAATAAATGATAAAAGTACATAATTTATATGTACATATTAATTATGCATCACTATATCCGAATGCATGAACACGTACAAAACATAAAGCGAAAAAATAGCTTTGTTGTTCTAAAAGTAATCGATGAATTTCTTAAAAATGACCAGTATTGGAAATAATCTAGGAAAATGTAGAAAAAATAGAGAAATAACGTGTGTTAGTGGAGGTGGCTTATCACGTAGCGTAAAAGCTCGTAAGCCGATGTCGATTTTCGATTGAGCGCCAAACTCGGATTGTAAATTCTTTTTTCACTGCTGCGGCTGTCCGACTATATCGTCCGTATTACTACTGAGCCCGGATTTTGTCGGTAGTACGGATTTTACGACGGACAAACTCGTTTTGGGGAGGAAGGTCGAAACGAAAGGGTATGTTGGAAAGAGGAAGGGGTAATCAGAGATAATCGATCGTGTACAATCGGCCACAGAAACCACCGAAAATTCAGAGAAGAGAAATCATGGGAGAAGAAGGGCCAGGAATATGAATGGAAAGCTGATTTTCACAATCGACTCGTCAACCTATCGATAATGCTGCCACTTCGAATAGTATCCAATATTAAATGCAATACGAATTCTTAATAATCATATAATGTATTTACAACGTTAGTAAATTAACAATTTTCGTAGAAATATTATCTACAATTTTTAACATTTTTTTCGTAAATATTTTCACATGAAATATTGAGGAATGTTCAGAGAAAAATCCTGTTGGAAAATATTTTACAGTTATTTTTTAATTTTTTGTTTTTATTTTAAATATAGTTTATTCATACTAACCAAATACCTAAGATTTTTATGTTTGTTGTAAAATATTCGTGAAATTTTTTTTTTTTTTTAAAAAGATAAATCATTTGTTTAGATTCTTTTTTTACTTAACAAAGAATGTAAATCTACAATTAAAATGAAAATTTATTTCATTTTCTACTTCATGATACATTACGAAACAAAGAACAATCTCGTAATTGGTTTACGGTATCGTATCATGCACATAGTTAAGGTTCAAAGAAATGTTAGAGAAATGAAAACGAAAAACGCTGAGAACAAAGGATAGGTTTTAATGGAACGGTTCTACAACAACACGACAGGTATTTCTTTTCAAAGGTAGGAATATTTACTATGCTAGTATACCCAAAGAAAGTAAGTCGAAATGTCGAAGAATCGAAACGGCAAAAGTTTTACGCCCGTATCAACGTAATTTATCGCGAACCCTACTAGTGATACTATATCGATAACCGATACCTAGCGAGAGAAGATCAATGTTTCTTCTTAAAAAACAAGAAAAAGAAGAAAGTAAAAAATAAAGAGAAAGAGAGAGATAGAAAGGGAGAGAAAATTTAAGAGAATGAAAAAAGTAAACGAGAAAAAGGGAAAGAGGAAAGAGGGCAAAGCAGAGAATAAAAGAACACACAAAAAATAAGAATTGACAAAAAAGAAAAAGTACAGGCATTGAGAAAAAAAACTATGGTAGCGTTAACAATTTTTTTCTCCTATTTTCGATAAATATAACCTTACATAAGGGTTATGCTTTTCTTTATTTGTAAGATCTTTCTATAACCTAATCTTATGTTTTTCGTGATTAATTAAAAGAAATTATATATAGTATTATAAAATGTATAATAAAATATTTATATACATTTTATTCGTGGTTTTTCGATAAATGCCATTTTATGGCATTATAATATAAATAAAAGTAATACAACATAAATGAATTAAATAAAACACATAAAATTTAGACATATTAAGATTTTGGTTTACTAAAGATTATAAATAAATAATCGAAAGATTTATGAAGCAAATTGAATAATACGTCTTTGTTTGTTTTTTTTTTGAATCTTTTTAAATGAATCCATCGGTAGCTAAAAATGTAATAAAGGAAATAAAATTCTACAACGTGGTAGTTAGTCAGACGTTTAATAATACATGCGTTTTCTTTTCATCCTCCTATCAAATCCCCTCTTTCTTTCTTTCCTTTCTACCCCTTTTACTCGTAACTACGGTATTCTGTTCTCATCGTTACTGTTACTGACCAGTCGTGATAATCCTATTTTCTACCTACAAACGAGTATTAAAGTGGATTCACGCGAAAGCGACGGGGAAAAAACGAAATCTCGATAGTCAGATTGTACGATTCAATTTTTTTCATCTTTCACTGTTTTATTATTTCTTGTTCTTTAATCTTTTGAAATCAAACCACGCCGTTATTGTTTTACAGATTGATCAAAATATTAAATAAATATCTGCAAATGTGAATGGAAGGAAAAGAAAATATAAATATATAAATATAATATTAAAATATATGAAGTAAATCAATAATTATTGCTATCTGAAATAATTTTATATTTAATGATTGCAAAGATAACAACTTAACATATTTTCTTTTTATTAATGTAAAAACAACTAATTTCACTTATTAATACGTTCTGTGCCACGTGTACCACCGGTGATACACTTATCATTAGACATTTATTTAACGAACTAAAAATATATGTTTATAACAAATTTAATTCTGTAATAGAATATTTCTATTAAAATATTAATGCATTATACAAAATGCAGTATAGAACAAAGCACACAAGTTTGTTTAATTGTTATATTTACAATAATTATTAATTACATGTAATGATTGATTTTGTTAAAGCAAAATTAAATGGCCTGAATGATAAGTCAAGTAAAAAGGGTTTGGCATGAAACGTGTTAATAAACATTCTCATTAGAATTAATATTTTTGAAAATTATACGCGTAAGTAAATATGATTTCAATTAACAGTAGTTGTGAGAAATAAAATTCATTTTAAATAACAAATAATAATAATAATAATAATCGATATAAATGAACGAATAAAATCGTAAAGAGATTTCTACAAAAAAAAAGAAGTATTAAAAAAAAAAATTAATAGAAATTGATGATCAATAAGTAAACACGTTAGGTACGTTAAATTGTGATCTATTTTTTGAACAAAAGAAACCGAAATGCAAAGTATCCTTGGAGTTAGCAATTAGATAGCAAACAAATGAACGTAATGATAAAATGGTTTGTTTTCATTATGCGTATATATAGGATCGGTTCGTATTTGCAACCATAAATGTTACCATACGATCATCGTTATAAGCTAGCAAAATGAATATTGCGAAAATGGTCTTGTTCGTATCTTCTCTCTCTCTCTCTCTCTCTCTTTTTCTCTCTTTCACTCATTGTTTCACGATAATTTAATTTTTAATATTGCGTATACATCCGTTAGAGTCACGTCGTTCACAATTTCGGTAAATGTGCACTCGTATTCGAGATCGTGCGATAACCACGTACCATACGCACCACGTATTCCATCCCTCGTTTTGCTACCCTCTCTCTTCTTTTTTTTTTTTGTTCATTCGTCTAATCGATACTTCTCCGACAAGAAAGAGAGATAGAGAGTAGGAATTATTTTCTCGGTTAAATGGATAAACTTCGAGTAGATTTACGATCGAGAATGAACTTCATTTCTCGGTTAGTCTGTTTCTTTTTTTTTTAATTGCATAAAATGAATTTGAAAATTAGCACAGACAACGTAAACAAAACTCTCTCGAAGTCTAACGTGGAATTGGGAATCTAACGGAGAATTCGTTTCGACTTTCCTTAATGAATAAACTACTCTCGATGGATAAACTTTTGAATAACACTTAACGATTTTGAGTGGATGGAGGACTTCGTCGAGAACACTTTGATGTAGAAGATAAATAAAACGTAAAAAGTAGTAGAATACAGGTTGGAAAAAAGAAAGAAAAAAACTTAATGAAATCGTTTCTCTTTAATCTTTTTTAAAATAATATAAACAAAAAAGTAATATTTGTAAAAAAAAATATATATATATATATAGAAGGAAGTACAACGCGATAGAAATTTGTAAAGATTTTAAATCGTTTTTAATCAAATCCCCATTTCCACTTCATTTTTCGATCCGATTGTGTTATGCGTATTCAGTGAAATCGGTTATTATCCGCTTTCCCAACGAAACAAAATGCATACTCTCGGCACGCATTTTACTAAAAATGAAATCCTCTTAATTATAAATACATATTTAAAAACCTCGATTTATATGTTTCCCCATTTAAATATGAGAAAAAGGAAAACGAGTGGTACGAGAAACGTGGAATTGTAAAAATTAATTTTTGAAAATAATCGGACAAATATTAAATATTACAAAGTATTCGTTTATAAAAGAATTTCGATCGAATGCTTCCCTACCCTTACCCCTCTCAAAAATATTATCTTTATCTAATATTAACGAAACTTTCTACATGCTAAAAAAAATATATATATATATTCATGCTTCGTTACACTCGATCGGTAATATTAATTATAATCTAATTATTTTAATTACACGTTAGGCGCGACACCTAATGATTTGATGCAAAAGTAAAAAAAAAAGGAGAGAAGAGAAAAGAAGTAAAAAAAATAATCAGCCCAGAAAGTCTCGATTATAATTAGGCGAGACAGACCCACGCACGTAGTAGTGCTTCGTTAATTAGAGCCGATCGACGTCGATGAAGTACCAAACGAAACCTTCTTCGATATAAGACTTGTAGTAGGAGGAAAGGAAGCTGATGATGATAAGGTTGGTAGATAATACGAGAGACAAGAATAGAAGATAGATTGTTGAAAAGAGTAAAAAGACATCTTTGAAGAAGGGTGTCTTCGTAACGATTTAAGGCCCTAAGATCGTTAAGCCTGTAGCTACCGTCGTCGTCGTTGTCGTCGTGTCGTTGTAGTTGTCGTTGTCGTTGTCGTTGTCGTTGTCGTTGTCGTCGAAGCCCCGGTGCCTAATTAATCCGCTTTTCAAACGTTTTAGAGAACGGTTCGTTCGTTTTGGTTGGGGCCTATCGTATCCCCGAGGCGACGCCAAATTATTAAAGGAGTCTCTTCTCCTTCGACGAAATCGACCGAAGGAACTATCGAACGTCGAGGCGATGTCACCAATACATTTTCCTAAAAGATTATTATATAAGTACTAGGCTAGGGCTTCTAAGGAAGTTTCATTTTGTTGTTGTTGAATCATTTTTATTTATCAATAAAGTCTGAGATAAAAACTGAGATGAACAATCGAATAGTTAGTTAGTTTTTTAATATTTAACTTTGTTTTTTTTTTTAAATATATTAAACAACAAGATTATATTATATCAGAATTATTAAGTAGATACTATATATATATATATATAAATGAAAATAATCTAAACGATACTTTATTATAATTTTTATTTTTAATTAAATTTACGAACATTTTGATTAATTTAATTTAATATTTCTGAAATCATGTGTATTTGAACGTTAATACGATACCATGATAAGTTAATTATGACAATTACATCTCCCTACTCTGGAGTAAAACTGTATTTATCACTCGTATCAAATTGATATCGAATTTTCGTATGAATAATTGTCGTTTTTTCTTGTGTATTCCATTTCTTTTTTTTTTTTCTCTATAAATAAACCTTTGCATTTAATTTATATAAGTAATTATTTTATAGTTTCACATAAAATAACAGATTAGACTCATAATTAATTTATGATAATATCTTTACCTGTCGTAGGATATCGTTCTTCTCCTTCGGAAGCTGCGTCCAACATTGCACAAGAAATTTTATTAATAAAAAGTATATCATGTGAAAAATACATATAAAACGTATTTACGTGTCTATAAAATTTCTACTCGGATGAATAAATAGTTGAAATTTGTATAATTCGATAAGAAGAAATGAGCTAAGATCAGCTTTATAGTAAATTTACGATTCAACGAAGACACGGAATTACGATCGCATAGTGATTCAAGTTGGGAAGTTCTTAGTTTTCGACTTTGCGTCGTCAGGCATGTGTACACGTCTAACAAATAATGTTAAAGACTCGAGACAACTTATAGAGACTTTGAGGAGCCAACGAGAGTTCATTGTTATCGGAATGTACGTCAATTTTAATGAGACGTCAACTCATCCGATGAAAAATATTCTTCTTCTATTTAATCTATACAAAAGTTTGGGGAAAATAAAACTAGAAAAAAAAGATAACGAAGAGATAGTTGATAGACAGCAAAACGTAATATTAATTGATGATTACCTATCCCTGTTCAAATTTCAACCGACGATTTCATTAATCTCACCGAATTCGTTGTGCACCCACCTCAACCCCCCCCCCTCTCACCCCTGGTCGCCTAAATGATTATTTACAAATACGCACGATTCGTCGTAGATACGATGAATTTATGTGCGACCGCTTTAATAAAGTAGCCGTTTAATTATCCAAGCGGATGCATCAACCAAGTTGGAAAATATATTCCTATTAGGCGGAATTATGGACAAAGCGTTTGTCAAAGCCGTACGTGCGGTGTGCATGAATTATTCGAGCTATTTCATTAAACGGATCCACCAATAATCTGTCATTGATACCAGACCAAGTTTCTACGTTGGTGGGTAATACAGTTACACGTGTACAGAGAACTAACGAGCAATGTTAATGATGATGATTGTCGCTTCGTATCCTAACTGAGAAAATTATGAATAATAATACATATCTATAAGGTTTTAGATATAAATTCGATACAAATTTCATTTGAGAACATTTTTTTCAAATTATTTAACACATACAACATCGTAATAATTGATAAAACGAGATTAAGAAAATCAACACGTAATAAAATATGAATAAGAATTTTCTAAATAACTCTACAGAGCCCTTGATACCGTAATTAATCATTAAAAGAGTAAATAGAACGTGTATTCTAATAACGTTCGATCGATGTGACGTTGCAAAAATCTCGTGGCTCCTCCATAAATCAAGCATTGTTAACTCCTCATTAATTACTAAATTTCCTTAACTTACAAGCTCCTATCATAATAGGATACGATCATTTTTGTGTACTATCTGAAACTGTATTTTAGAATATTACATAGCTTTATCAAAAGCAAATAAATCATTGAAAATTTTCATTAACATCGTCGATCAGATAATAGTAAGAAACAAAAAATTGATAAGCATTATGATTAATAAACAAGAAAATGTTTATTTCTAAAAAAAAACACAATTACTTGCAATTTATAATAATAGATCTCATTTTATGATAATCATTAATAAAGATAATAAAACGACTGATATTTTTTTAAATTAAAAAATAAGAGAAAAAAATTGAAGAAATAAAAATCAAATACTTACGTTTAAGTTGAACGAAGGTGAGTTGATCGATAGCTCGCCTCAAAGGTTTATCGTCTAAAGTGAGATCAAGAAGAGGAAGACGAGCGATCTCTTGGACACCCTCAGCACCACCCCAAGAGCCTGCAGCATTGGCAGCCCTAACGGATAACATTCCACCTATCTGGAGAAAAGCTGCGCTGTCTGTCTCCTTCAAAGCCTCTATGCAAAATGTGAGAAGTGCTGTCGTTGCTTGAAGGTGAGTCGCACATCTTGTGACCTGATCCCTCAATGAACGAACCCTAGCTTCACGGGTTTGTCGCGCAGCTTCGATCAGTCGTGATTTTCTTGCTTGGAGAAGGCTCACCAAACTTGCAACACGATCTTCTACTTCTTCTTCCAGTGCTACGCATTCTTCCTAATAAATTTATTTTTTTTTATTAGTCTTTCTTAAATTGATTTTAATCAGTGTGTGATATATTATAATTTTATTATGCAAAAAATTGACGTGTCTACTTAGTTTGTATGTCATTTTATGTATATTTGAAAAGTGAACGATATCTATCGTTAATGAAGATAAATTATAAATTGTAATAGCCCTTAATTAATAATGTACAATATTTCTATAATATTGGCTAATTAAATATTATTTAATAATCCCTATGGTATTTTCTACATTACCGACTTGTATAGTAAAATAATTGGACGTGGCGAAAAATTAAAAGCTATAGGAAATATTAACCTTTTACGTAACGTCAAAGGATTTTAATGAATTATTTTTTGCATCGCATAAAACTTGAAAAAGAAATTGCTCTTCGCATTGGTTTTTTTTTTTTTTTTTGGGATATATACCTTTAATAGTATAAATTAATTCTCTTTGTTCTTCTTTTTTTTTGTTCATTTAATTCGCGATTGCTTACTGAAGAAAGAAACGATGAAACGATTTTACTCGCTTTAGAACGTTTATCCTTATCCATAGGAATTGTAGGACGATTGAAAGCGGTATAAACTTATAAGGCGATTCTTCTAAAATACCGTAGGGACGGTGGAAAATCGAACGGGTGGCTGTGTTTACTCGATAAGAGAAAAGTACGCCGACTCCATTTGCGCAAACTAAATTTTCCGTTTTCCTCTTCCTTCTTTCTCCACACTTCCCAGTCTGCCTGCCCATCGAGCGACTCTACAATCCGGATTCAAGTCGCTCGGTATTCTCAATTTTACTTTTCTTTTTCTTTTTTTTCCACGGTACACTAACCTCTAATAAAATGCGAATCGATGCTTTGCGATAAAAATTATAACTTTTTTTTATCTTAAAAGGTAAAAATAAAATTCGATCTGTCTGTTTTTCATTCGAGATAATATTTAATGCAATTAATTTATTATTCAATCATAACCGATTATTTATTAAATTGAATTATATATGAAACAATAACAACATTGTTTTTATCTTTGTTTTTATTATAAAATAATCCAATCGCAAAACAAACATACGAAAACTCTTTCATATTCATTTGTAAGGAATCAATGAAACATTTTCTGTGATTCATTGTCAATAATAAATGATAAGTTACAAGATCGAGACTAACTTTCTGAATAAGTTACAGATTTTCTTGTACAAGTAAGTAAACTTTCTGATGTAGAAAGATTAGATATTATAATAATAAAATAATAATAATAATAATAATAATAGTAAAAGAGTTTGCTATCCTCTTATCTTCCAATGTTATCTTTTCTCCCCTTTCTTCAGATGTAATATACTGTATGCCTACATAAATAAATGTAAATATGTGTTTCTCTGAAGTATTCGTGTTAAATCTAAAATGATATAGAAAGATGTACTCACGTGTACTTTGTCCGTCATTCCTTTGAGCCTCTGAATGAATTCCGTCGTGGAACGAGCACGCTCCGATAACTGCTGTAAATTCTGCGATAATTCCGTCTGAAACATCAACGAGAATGACGAAAAACGCATTAATAAACGAGAACACGTACTTTTTTTTTATTCTTTATTTTTTATTTTCTATTGTTTATTATTTATTACAAACAAAAAGAAACGAGATTTTTAACAGAACGCAACGACGAACTGATTTTAAATACTTTATACGGTGGAACGATTTTATCGTGAAAAACACATCACACGAGTGTGAAAAATTTCATATATATATATATATATATATATATTCATAAATACGTATATATGTATGTATATGTATTCTACTCCAATATTCTGCTTAATGCTTTTCACGTTCGTTCCATTATACAGGCGCGACGTGCATATAATTATGTGATTTAAAGCGCATAGAAAGATTGCTTCTAGCTTAGGTGAATAATTTCGACGTATGAATCTTTCGTGATCGTTATAACATTCTTATTGTCTGAATTGATGAAAAATTATAATTTACAAAAAAAAAAAATAAAAGATCATAAATATTGTTCATAAAAATATTTACATATAATATAAATATTATTTTAATATTATATAAATATCTCTTTCTTTCTCTATAATGAATAAAGTTAAAATCAAATTAACAAATTAAAAATTTGACGGTTCGCATTCCCCCTATAATGGTATGATTTTGAAATAAATGAGATTTATATTTATACATAACAAATTCAATAAAATCGGAGTTTGTACATATATCATATTAATTTCGCTAATGAAATTGCGTCAAACAAAACGGAACGTCCGGAACGGAAAATACAGAAATTATTCGTGTTTTCCTCTCAATGCATAATTCATCGAGGCCATTATGAAGAATTAATTAAACAAGACCATATTAATGGGCGAATATAAAAATTAAGAAAAAGGTCCTTGTGACATATCCGAACCAGTCACCTGCTTCCTATATGATACGCGTAACGTTAAGAAATAAAATTAGCGTATTCTTAAAGCGAAACTTTTAATGATATATCTTCCTAAGTTGCTTTTTAAGTACGCTCAAAGAAAATCTAATTGCATTGGCAAAGTATTTAATTCGTTTCAAGCGGTTGCCCTCTCCCTGACGGAGTATGCTTTTACTTAAAAACGACGTTAAATGATAGGAGTGTGAGTGAAAGAAATAAAGAAAGAAAGAAAAAATTAAGGAAAAGAAAAAGAAAATAGCAAGCCGTCTTGAAAATTTGCAATCTTATCGTTACTAAAAGGGAAAAGGAAAAGGAAAGGAAAATTACTTTAAGGTTACGCTAAACGAATAAAGTGGTTTTTCAAACTGAATCATAAATTGGAATAGAATTTTTATTACGAATTTTTTCATCGATCAATTTATTATTATAGAGTCTCTCGGTGGTAATAGCAGCAGTTCTTATTATGTCAAAAATATTTGTTCTCTTTTATTCGCATTTTATTCACATGGTGCGATAACACACAACGAACGTGTGTCATAAATGAGACGAAGGTAAAAGGGAGAGAAAGAAGAATCGATGAAAACGCTTTTGTTCCTCGAGACAAGCTTAAAACAAAGAAAGAACATTGTCCTTCGAAATAAGCTTAAACAAAGAACGAAAGCTGTGTTACTCGATAAGTTCAAACTTTTCAAAACAAAGGTAAGGTAGTTTATCTAAGGATACTTTATGAAAAATTAATAAAACGAGCGTTCTATATACATAAATATTCAGAGAAAATACGAAATTTTTCTTCAAGCCATTCACGTATGCGTCACGTTCAATGCTTGCCCAGAATCGTCAATTTAAATTTCTCGATAGGATGGACATGTTACTTGATTTTCCCATCGTATATACTTTGTACTCGAAACACGTATTGAAAAATCTGGGCGAGCCTCAAGATTTCAGTCTTTGTAGTAAAGAAACTCTTTCAAATCGGACGGTTCTCGCGATTTATGAAAGCTCCAAAAGAGAACAATCATACGATAGACAAAAAGAAACCATTTATTAAGAAAAAATGTACATTTGTAAATACGTTCTTTATAAAATATAATAGCATACTATAAAAATAGAATATTAAATTAGCTAATTAGCAATGCTGACATTCACCTAATTAAAATTAGCTTTAAAAATAATATAATACATGTGATTAATAGTTCAATATTTTCTAAGAAATATTAGAATTAAATTATAATAATGATACTAAATAAAAAAAAAAAAACAAGAACAATTCCAAGAATATATTTATTAGTGTAAGATAATTTTATATGTAACGTATAACGTGATTAGGAAAATGATCGTTACGTTAATGCTTTTCCAAAGCTGTTAACAAATAATCTGGCTAATTTTCAACGAGTTAAAATTTAGCGAATAAATAGTCACACCTGGCGAGTACCGAGGTTCGAACTATGGGACTCGTGCATTCATAAACGAACACATAGAAAGACACGATCACAGCACGTGCGAGCGTTCGCACGTGCGTGCGTCATTACGCACTTCCCCTCGTGCATATTGCATTATATAATTGTGATCGCACGGTTCACTGAACGGTGCTCCAAGAGGGTATACTGATAAATCCATACAAAACGTTATCCTTTTGAAAACACTCCTGACTCGATGGTTATCAAATATGGTCGATAACTTATTATCTTTACTGATTATTATCAAATGTTATATTTACAACAAAGGGCCACGTCATACCGCTAATTTAGAAGTAAAACACATCTGTTAGTTATCATTTATCAAACTTATTCGTTAATGTCTTTTCTAAAAAAAAAAACAGTAATTTATAACTTTGCATGATATATACTATATAATTTACCCTTATGCCAAAAGTACGAATTAAAGTTTCAGGTAATTGTGAGAATTCGCAACTGAATATGAAAGGTAATAAAATAAATTTCCGGTGATATTAAATTGTTTTAAAAATACACTTGTATATATATATATATATCAACTTTTAAATCATATTTAAATAAGATTAATTTTTTTCTTTTTATTTTAATATTTAAACTTTCAACAAAAAATTTAATTTAAAAAATTAGTAAATTAGTAAAAATAAATTATTCCACTTTACGAAACAAATAGATTACTTATCAAATCATCTGATACATTTATTTAAATATTATACTAATTAGAAGAATTTGAAAATCGTACCAAACTAATATTATCCATTAGCCAATTTAGAAATAAACTATAAATTCTGGTGACATTGTCGAGTTTGATTTTCTCACGTGTCTTCTCGCATTCAAGCACAAAGTAAAATATTAAATTAAAGTCCCATGGAAGGACACGTATGTACTTATATGTGTGTATGCGGACGTACGTGCATGTATGTGTTTATACATATACATAATATATATATA